GAGCGTCGTAGGTCCCACCTTGTATCTGCTGAACCAGAATCTGCATGCAACTAGATTCCCAGATGATTCACATGTACATGAAAGTTTGAGAAGCATTATTTATCACTTGTTATTACTCTACTGCAGAATTACTGGGGATGTGAAATGGAAGGCTGAAGGCACAAGGGGGTTGTGGAAAGTGGGTAGAGTTGCATAGATTTGGTTTATATTAGGATTGATCACTTGAGTGGCTGAGAAGGGTTCCATGGTTGTTTGCAAGTGTGGGCTATACATGTTGGAAGCACACTTTATGCTAGGAGCTTCCCATCAGGTCATTGCTTCTGGGACATATAAATGCGTTATTTGTACTTTTCATTTATAGGCTAGAGGGTCCTACGGATCTCCATGTTAACTTGTACCTGTATCAGCTAGAAACTTGTCCAGACTCGAAATTATGTCAGAGAAGTCGAGGTGCAGGCAACAGTTCCTATGGAATGGTGTGTTCTTGATGGACGAGTTGCCTAAGTCATAAGCAATATTGACTTGCTGAGGTAGTGAAGCAGCCGTGCTGTTGACATAGGAAGTGTAACCAAGGATCTGGCTTCTTTTTGACTGTCAGTGTATAGGTCACAGGGTATTAAAAAGTGGAGCACTTTCTAGAACAGAGATGGTGAACTGAAGGCTGTAGTCAGAGAGCAAGGTCATTTTTGAAGACAGCCAGGAAAAGGGTTGGAGTTGCGGTTTTGGGACTAAAACGAACAAGGAGTAAGGGAGGCCTGGGCTACTGAGAGGCCTGGAGGGTGTTGTATGCATGGGAGCGAGTAGCTCAGAGGCTGGATACAATGGCTGTGCACATGTACTGGAGAACTCAAGGGCTTTGGGTGGATGAGGTGCCACAAAACTCCTTCTGGGCCATGGCTATGCTTTGGGACCTGCCTGGGTTGCCCATGAAAGCAGTGGACTAGCACTGTGTGCAGGCTTCCTCAGCCAGCCCACAGTGGAGGAGCAGATGCCCTATACTTGCTGCCTTCAGAGCTTTCTTAGCATTTGATATGCCAGGAGCTGGCATGGTCAGCCCATGGTGTTAGGGTGAATACACTCACTGGGAAGGACCAGGATCTTGGCAACAGATTCATTGCATATTTGCGCCTCTGGTGCCATGGTAACCTTTCTTCTTCCTGATGACCTACGCCTGTATCAAAGTTTATAAAACAGTGGCTGGGATGGTTGGAGGATGCAGGGAGACAGAAGCTGTGGAGTCTGCAGAAGTGAAGGGTAAGTTATTAATTCTCCTGGGAAAGGTGAGATCTTGAGTCTCCTACCAGGAAAGGCTGAAAGACAGGGTTATGGGTAGCACCTACTCCACTCTTTGCACAATGGGAGGAAGGATGTATGACTTGATAGGCCTCCCAGTTGTGTGTTCATCAGTTGCAATCTGCTCTTCTCAGGAGTTAGTTTGTGTCAGGGAGTGTCTGTGCCTCCTGTACAAGGTTTATTATAAAAGACACCTGATGTACTTGAGTGACCGGAGTTCTAACTTGAGAGTATGTGCCCACCTCCATCAGTTGCCACCAGTGTGTCAAATTCTCTTCTACACTTGGCTAGGACTCAGATTTAGTGAGAGGAGCAGAATGAGGCCTGCCGGTCCTCCTTTTTCTAGGAGTGGGAAGCAGCCTCTTCTTTGCAGTGTGGGCCAGTGGCCCCTGAACCCTCAGCTAGTACCTGAGGCTTCTCTCCTCACCAGGGCCTCAGAAGGAGGCCTGGGCTCCTGCCAGTAAGTAAGATCAGGACACTCTCAGAACTCTAGCTTCTGGCATACGGTCAAGAGAAGGAGGCAGGCTCATGGGTGGCTGCAGTGTAGCCTCCACAGGACTCTTCACAGGGGCAGACCCTTCATGGAATGCCCAGGGTGGGAGGCCTTCCACATTGACCAGAGAGCCATGTCCCTTCCACCAGCTCCAGTGGAGCAAACTCAGCCAGAGAGGGCAGAACTTCTGTACACTGCCTTGCACCATCTCCAGGGGAGGGGAGAGCCCGGTCCAAGTGCCTGGGAGAGGAGGTAAACTCCAGCAGGTGCAAAGCCAGGGGTTTAGTGTGGGAGGAGGAAATCTGAAATCCAAGGGAGCAGCTTGGGGAGATGGAAGGGAGCCCAGTGTGTGCCTTACTCTCCGGCTGGGGTCTGAGCTCCTTCTGTGGCTCAGGTGTGGCCCCAAGCGGGCTGGAGGCATGGGGGCTACTGGGCCCTGGGGTTGCCCATTCTCTGGAAGTGAACAGGCAATTCATTGCTTTTTAGAGGGATTCTTTGAGGGCATAAGTGGCTAGGAAAGCTCTCCTGTAACCCAAGAGATCTCAGTAGCTCAGAGCCAGTACGGTGCAGAAGGAGCCCAAGCTCTGGGCAAAATTGCTTGTGTTGACCTTTTATTTTTTTCCTTCTCGCCCTCCTTGTGTAGACAACACCAGGCAATGAGCCTTGGAGATGAAATCCAAGAGCCTCCCCCCGGTGGTGTGACCACTTCTCTGTGTCTTTGCCAAGTTCCTGCCTGTTCTCCTTCGATCCCAGCACAGCACATTCACCCCCACCCAGCAGGCTGTGTTTTTACCTTGTTCCTGCTGGGTGACAGCATTTCTTCTAACAGCACTTCTTCTCAACTGGAGAATTGCCATGTTCTTCAGACCCACCAAGAGATCCTAGTTCAACGGTCTAGGGTGGGCCCTGGAGCTTCATTTCCAGCCTGTGCTCCCGGAAATGCTGGTGCAGGTGGGCAAAAGCCACACACTGGAAAACACTATTGGGAACATATGGTGGAGGCTCACCATCGGCAGGGGAGGCAGGCAGCTCACTCTCATTGCAGGGCTGGCAGCAGCAAGAAAGACCCCTTTCCGCTGCCATCCTCTGCAAAGCGAAACCCCAAATTCGTGGACGCTGAATTGGAAGGGACTAAAGGTATTGGAGGGAAGAAGGATTCTAATTGGGTTGGTACATCCAGCATGGCTGGTCCTTCAGGATTCCCCCCATAAAATCCAAACGGGTGATAGGGTCCCACTTTACTGAGCTGGGCTCTTGGGTGAGGAGTTTGCTCAAGGTCCCATAAGTAGCCAAGTGTCGGGGACCGTGTTCAAATCCAGAGCCGATTTCACTGAATATTTTTAAAAATTGTTTTTAATGGTGATGAAATACACATAACGTAAAATTTGCTGTCTTAACCATTTGCAAGTGCAGCGTCAGTGGCAACAATGCATTCACACTGCTCTGTAACCATCGTCATCGTCCATCTACAGTTTGTTCCGTTTTAACGTTTTCTCATGGCACAAAAAATAGGGAAGCCGAGCTGAGAGTCTGAGTCTACACATTTAGCCCGAAGTATGCAGTATGGCTCTGCTCATCTTAGTGGGGAAGGAAGGTGTTCAGGGATGAGCAAGGACAATGCCGTTAATTCGCCTTTGAAACCTGCTTTGAGAAGGTAAGTGGCTGGAAATGGCTTTGTGTGACCGAGGTTGCTCAGGGCAGCCACCTTCTGGCACTAAAAGATAGTGCAACAATCCAGCGTCTTAAAAAAAAAACAAAAAAAACCCCAGAAAAACTTCAAGAAAAAACCAAAACAATTTCTATCTACCTTGCTAGAGGAATTGGGCATTTTGTGGCGTCTTGGATGAAACGGCAAATCTGTACATTATATACGTACACCTCTACTTATATCTCTTTATCTCCATCTCTCTCGCTCCTGTTTCATGAGGATGCTTATGATTTTAAGTACTTGCTAAAGATATTTGAATACAACTTGTTCAGGCCAGATCATACATTATCTGTTGTGGATAAAACAAGTTTGGATTTAGAATAAAAATTGAGATAGAACAAAATATTTGCTTAATAACCATAAAATGAATGAGAGAAGTCCACATGAGCTTAATTAATTGGCTCAATATTTCTCTCTCTCTCTCTCTCTCTCTCTCTCTCTTTGTTGAGACAGAATCTCACTCTGTCACCCAGGTTGGAGTACAGTGGCATGATCTCGGCTCACTGCAACCTCCACCTCCCAGGTTCAAGACATTCTCATGTCTCAGCCTCCAGAGTAGCTGGGATTACAGGCACATGCCACCACACCTGGCTAATTTTTGTATTTTTAGTAGAGACAGGGTTTTGCCATGTTGCCCAGGCTGGTCTTGAATCCCTGACATCAAGCGATCGGCCCACCTCAGCCTCCTAAAGTGCTCGGATTACAGGCATGAGCCACTGCGCCCGGCTGGCTCAATATTTCTAACAGCTAAAAAGTTCATTTTGCTGCTCCGCTCCTCAGATCGACCTGCTCCCCTGTGTAGTGATATAGCTGTGCTTGGGGACCATGCTGGGTATGGTAGTTTTTAGTCCTAGGACCCATATGTAGAGTAATTCTGAGATTTCTCTGATTCTCTCTCTCCATTTCTGGCTGGATCTCTTCTCACACAGGTCCTCATTCAAATCTATCATTTCCAGTTTTCCACAGCCCCCACCCTTCCCTACTACCTTACACTTGACTGCTCCCTTCATCTTTATGACCTGTCTGAGGCTTGGAATATTTGAGTTTGAGACCTCTGTCTGAAGTCTTTTGTCTCTTTGTCGAGGGGGTTTTCTTCGTGAATTGAACATGCTTTCTGCGGGAGTTATCACTACAACTCTATCCTTCCTTTGAGACCTTGCTCAAATCTCTCTGCCTTTGTAAAAATCCCCTTCACGCTCCTCCTCTTTCATCTCTAACCTTTTTGCAAGTGTATGTCTTGTGCAGTCAGTTCCTAAAATACACTATCCTATTTGTATTTCTCTATGACATATGCTTCATATGAAAATAACATAATAGAAACAATGTCCAACACAAAGGAACATTAGTTATAATATAACTCTTATGTTTGTGGCACATGATTTAAGTAAAATGACTGAAAGTTGCCCACTGACAATTGTGACTTATTTCTTCTAGGAGAGTTCTTCCAAAGTATAATTTCAAGGGGACAGGAAATAGCTGTAAATTAATAAAGTTAGATTTGCTCACCTCTGTGATGCCCTCTTGCCTGGCTCAATACTGCATTTAGTTGGTATGAGGAAAGTTCACAAAATCTGCGAAAAAGCAATGTTGGTTAAATTTCCTCTAATAATTTTTTTCCTAATCTTAATTAAGAGCTTTTAATTTATTAATCTTTTCATCACTTTCTATAATAAGCATTTCCCATTTTATTTGCGGTTTTTAAATGTGCCATTAATGGCAGAAATTAAATATTAGAATGATTTCATACTATGGTGTTATTGTCAAGCCAAGATTGGGAATTTGGTATCATTTCTTTGTTAGCATTTAAAATATCATGTTCGCTAATTATCCATTCCCTACTCGTATTCCATTGCTAAATTGCTACTGTGCGCGGAGGCTTTAGGAGTCTTCTTGCAATTTCAGTGGCTTAAGTTTTTTGTTCCTCTGCTTAAAAGAACCTCAGAGAAGAAGGCGGGGCTAAGAAGATTCCAGTTATAAAAGCTTTCCTCCCCCTGTGCGGAGAGACCAGCAGGATCCTTGGGTGAAAGAAAATCCTGCTTGATAAAAACCATCACTTACGGTATGTCATCAACGTTTGCTTTTTGCTTCTCCTTAAACGTTGCCATTGCTGTAACTTGTAGAATAGTATGAGTTTGTGTCTCTGGGAGGGGCATCATTTAGATTTTCTATGAAGATTTGAAACTAAAGGAAGACAAAAATTTAAATTCCTCAAAGAGTTGTGGGCATACGCAAAATACTGGTTCACAGATATATCTAATCCTCACTCAGATTTATTTAGAAATGTGGAAATCTTTGCCGGATTTTTGAATGACTTTAAATAGAGTTACAATTTTCTTTTTCTGATTGAAAGAGTTAGAAACTCCCTAAATGAGCTTTAATGAAACATTCACTGGCATCTGAACTCTGCAACAGACTATCTGAAGCAATCCTATTGGGAACATAATAAAACAAGTTTTTCTTGAATCAAGACGACAGTGAAATGTAAATTAACATCAGGAGATAATGCATTCAAAGAGTAAATATTCTTTGATAATGATAGGAGAGGGTATATTTGGCTTGTTTGTACATACAGTGTTTCCTTCCGTTCTTCCAGCCTGTTGAAACATGCTCATCATTTGTATTATTTAGAGGCAAGAGAGAAACACTGAAGGGCTGCATGAATAATTAAAGATTTTATTTCCATTTAATTTTCAGCCCACTATTGCCAGTGCTGACTTTTTCAGTGTTAGGATTCTTGAGCTGAACGTAAGGAAGTGGTTATTCCTTAAGCCTATTCTATATGTGCTACACAAAGATACTTATCATGATAGAAGTTTTAGCTTGTCAAAATCTCGACAGTGCAAGGGACTTACTTCCAAGGTTGTGACTTTGGATGCATATTTCTTTATAATTTGGAAAAAAGCCATTTATTATTATTATGAATATATTCATAATTATATTACAAATATAATTGTTATATAAATAATTACATTATAAATTATAATTACATTACAATTAATAATAATTATTATTATTATCTTTGTCTTGCCTAAGAACTGATATCATTCTTGGCATCTGCGAAGACAGTAGGGGTCCAGGCTCCATAGGGTCCCCGCCTTTCCTCTTATTCTAAAAGGCTGTCAGTGAATAGCATCTTGGAGCATCACCTGCTGCTTGTATCTACCTCCTGTTTCTCACTTCTACTTTTTGGAGCAGGATACCTTGGGGTCAATGACTTTGGGAACCTCCACTGGCTTTTGCTATTTTCCTAGTTTTCATCCATCTATTCAAACTTAAAAAAAAATTTGGCAGATAGAGACAATTAGAAAAACAGGATAATGCCTATAACAAAAAAAATCTCAGCTCTCTCCTGGTGGTGGCTGAGACATGGAGGCACAGGTGCCTAGTGACCCTTTCAGGTTATTGGAACCCTTGTATGCACCACTGCCATGCCCCTGCCAAAATAAGAGTGGAGGAGATCTCTCTGGATGGTGTCATTTATATTTGAAGCCTCTGCAAGTGTTATACTCACCATTTTCATGAATAATTGATGGCTCAAAGAGTGGAGATGGCTGGGGTTTGGTGTGGGGCCCTTTGGAGCATTTTCCTTAGAGCATGAACAAGTTTTTCCTCTCTCATTCAGTGTGCAAAGGAGAACATCTTGTTTCTCCCCCTACCCCAATTTAATCAGAAAGAGACTTAGAACTAGACAATCCTGCTTGAAAATGACACTTTAGGACTGATTCGACCATGGTGATAGGTGGGCTAAAAAGCAACTTATAAAACATGCCAGAAGCCTTTTTTTCTTAGGATAATAAGATAACACACTGTTATTTTTTTGCATTGAGTTCAAAGGATGCTTGAATATTCTGTTGTTCATGGGTGACTTCTAGACTATTTAAAATTATTCATGACCATTGATAATAAAAATAGTACTATGGCCAACCTCTCCCCTCAACAAACAAAATGAGGTTTGTAATCCTTTGTTTAAATTTTGGCAGTGTGCTCACGTTGTTAAGATGACCATCTATTTCTTCCCAAAGCTGTATTAAAGTGGCACAAATTAGCTTAATGTTTAAGATTGGGCTCTCAGGCCAGCTTGCCTGATTTTGAATTCTGCATCCTCTACTTATCAGCTGTGTGACTTTGGGAAAGATTCCTAACCTCTCTGTGCCTTGGTTTGTCATCCATCTAAAGGAGAAAATAATAATCCATATAACTCATGGGAAGATGGATCCATGTAAATCATGATTTACATGGATCATTTACATGATCATTTACATGGATCATCAGAAACACATGATTTACATGGATCCATCTTCCCATGAGTTACATAGATTATTATTTTATTACAAGTACAGTGCCTGGCACATAATAGACATGACACAATACATAGCAGCTATTTATTACTGACATTTGGATGGTGTTCCTGGTCTGATGGAGATGTATGTATGTGCAAGCAGGACAAATTGTAATGTTCAGACGTTCAAGTTGTGACTACACAAGAACACAAAGCCAAAATTGACATGATATCACCTCTTGAACATCCCATCAATTACATGCATGTGTTTTGAAAAGATTTGATTACACGCTCTGGAAACATTTTATTGTAGTTTAAGAACAAGGGGGTCCTTGGTGTGATCTGTGGTCCAGTGGTCCTCTAAATGTGGTCCTGAGGCCACCTCATCAGCACCTGGGAACTTTGCTAGAGATACAGAATCTGGGGCTCACTGCAGACACCTCACGCTCTGAGGTGGGGCCCAGCACTCTGGGTTTTAATGAGTCCAGTGAGTCAGGCTGCAGGGTGATGTATAGTTTCCTGTGTGAGAAACTGTAGGAACTGTTGGTCCTTAGTTTGTAAGTGCTGTCTCTCCTGATAGGTACAGTAGGTCTATTGCAAAGTTTTGAAAAAATGTGACCGGTATTTCAAGAGTCCATTTTGATTTTAATTTTTACTAAGGTTATCTCTATGGTGGTCACTAAGAGTCCATTAAATTCATCAGGCCCATTTGAAATTTTTGAGAGTAAAGACCGTCAATAGAAATAATTGAGATTATTGATTAAGAACACGAAAGCAAAGCTTTACATAGTTAAACAAGTAACTCCTAGAACTGGACAAATCCTTAGTTCTCTATGAAGGTCCCATCCTTTGGGCCTGCCATGGAGATAACTCCATTGAATTGAGCTTTAATGGCATAGCTTCAACTTGCATTTAGGACATTCTAAGAAACAACCAGGCTAAGTTTAGTGCCTTAAGTATTGCAAGGCTGTGCAGGGATATTTACCACTATGTGGCCCAGTGTCCTTCTGGCATAGACATTTTTCTTTTAACTTACTATTTTGAGATAATTATAGCTTCACAGGAAGTGGAAGAGGAAAAAGTGTAGAGAGGGTCTATGAACTCTTCACCCAGTTCCCCTCAGTGGTGACATCTCACATAACTATCATACAAGATTGATACCAGAGAATTGGCATTGGCACAAGGCAAAGGCTTTATCAGATTTCACCATTTGTTTTTTTTTTTGAGATGGAGTCTAGTTCTTGTCGCCCAGGCTGGAGTGCAATGGTGTGATCTTGGCTCACTGTAACCTCCGCCTCCTGGATTCAAGTGATTCTCCTGCCTCAGCCTCCTGAGCAACTGGGATTACAGGTGCCCACACCTGGCTAATTTTTTGTTATTTTTTTTTAGTAGAGATGGGGTTTCACCACGTTGGCCAGGCTGGTCTCGAACTCCTGACCTCGGGTGATCCACCTGCCTTGGCCTCCCAAAGTGCTTGGATTACAGGCATGAACTAACACGCCCAGACCCAGATTTCACCTCTTGGACATGCATTCATTCACGTGTGTATAGTGTAATGCAATTTTATCACATGAGTAGATTTGCGTAACCACTGCCACAACCAAATTTCAGAACTGTTCCATCACTGGAAAAGCCCCTTCACCCTGCCCCTTTACAGTCGCCCCATCCTCCCCAGCCTACTTGTCCCCAAATGTAGGAGTTTTTTTCACCTTGACCTCTGTATCAGGGAATGTGGGTTTGAAGTTAGTTTATGGATGCCATGAAGCTTGTAATTGACTATGTTCATCCTGTCAACCTAAAATAATCAAAAGGCTCGGGATCCAATTTAAAAAGTTTATTCAAGTGCAAAGATGAGGGCAGCCATTCAGATATCAGAATGACAGCAAAGGATGGTGATCACTGCTCCTGGGATGGGGAAAAGGGAGAATCATTTATACAGGCAAAACCAGAGGTGCTGAACAGAAACACATTTTCTTTTTTCTTTTCTTTCTTCTTCTTCTTTTTTTTTTTTTTTGAGATGGAGTTTCACTCTGTCACCCAGGCTGGAGTGCAGGGGCATGATCTCAGATCACTGCAACCTCCCAGGTTCAAGGGATTCTCGTGCCTCAGCCTCCTGAGTAGCTGGGATTATAGGTGCCTGCCACCACACCGGCTAATATTTTTGTATTTCCCAGATGCGGTTTCACCATGTTGGACAGGCTGGTCTCGAACTCCTGACCTCAAGTGATCCACTCACCTTGGCCTCCCAAAGTGCTAGGATTACAGGCGTGAGCCACCATGCCCAGCCAGAAA